ACAATGGGGTCGCCATGGAGACGGGCACGTGGCAGGAGGGAGGCGGGAGGACAGACCGGCGAGTCGGAAGGCAGAAGGGCCGGAACTTTCTTTCTCCCAGGGAGAAAGACGGGCCGGAACTTCCGGGAGCTGGGCTGAGGGATCATGGACAGGGGACGGTACTTCCGGGAGCGGGGCTGAGAGACCAACCAATGGGGAGGCAGGAAGGCCGCCGCTTCCGGTGGGAGCGCTTCCGGGTGAGGGCATGCGACTGTGGGCGCTGGCGAGCGGCGGGCGGGCGAGGCTGAGCAGCAGCGTGGCCGCCATGGCCAAGAGCAAGTTCGAGTACGTACGGGCCTTCGAGGCGGACGACGCCTGCCTGCCCAACACCTGGGCCGTGGTGCGCCTGGACGGCCGCAACTTCCACCGGTGAGCTCCGCGCACTTCCGGGAGGCTCGCGGGCCCAGCCAATGGCAGTCGCTTCTAAGCGGGGAGGTTGCCGGGGCGACGCCTCGGCCAATAGGAGCGCGAGAAAATGGGCAGGGCCGAAGGGGCTTTGCGTTGCCGTGGCGGCCCTGGGGATGGGGGCGGGTTTGTTGCCGAGGGGATTTGGGCGCTCTTGCTCTGGGTCTGGTTTCCCAGCAGCCCCTTCCTGGTTTCCGTGGAGACCCCAGGAGCCATGACAGGAAGGGGCAGGGTTTCCATGGAGGCGGCCCCAGCCGCCCTGGCCAGGACCAGGCTCTTGTGGCCATGACTATGGTCCAGGGCCATGCTGCTACCGCCACAGGATCCTGCCAGCGCTCCTAGGGTCGGTCTCCATGGAAACCCTGGTCCCGCTCCTGGGGTCTCTGTGGAAACTGGCCGCAGCGATGCAGGCGGAGGCTGCCGGGAAGTGGAGTCTGAACGAGGGGAGGGAGCCTGTGACCCCGACCGGCGAGACTGCCCGGAGATGTGAGCACGGGAGGGGCAGGAAGACGCTCGTCCTCCCAGCCAGAGCCTCCTTCGTGGTCTCGTAGATGAAGCCAGGAGGAGATTGACCGGGAGGTTGCTCCCGGATGCACCGTTCAGCCGATGACTCGCGAGCGCTGTTGCTTCATAGGGATTCGTAGGGATTCAATACAGCAGGGGTCTCAAAATACCGTGGGCCACATCCGGCCCGTGGAGCCCTGTGATCTGGCCCGTGGGTCTCGGGCTCGCCCGGTGCGGAGCCGGTTCGGCACCTGGGCTGGACTCGCGGGCACTGCATGCAGCGCAGGGGGTCGGTCCGGGGCTTCCTCCGCACGCGGCGCGTGGTGCTGGCACAGGGGCCTGCTGTATGCGGCGCCTCGCTGAACCGGCCCTGTGCGCTGGCTCCGGTGCATATGGATGGCTTGGGGTTCAATTCAGACCGGGCCCAGAGCCAGCGCGCAGGGCTGGGCCGGCACGGCACTACATGCAGCCCGTACCCTGGACCAACCTGCTGTAACGCCTGCAGTGTTGGGTTCAGCTGCACGTGGCGCAGGGGTCTAGCACAGGGCATGTGCTGCACGTGTTGCCACGCCGTACCAGCCCTGCGCGCTGGTCCCAGCACGAACTGATCCAGCTTGCAGGGGCCAGATGAGTCCGACGCCCCTGCGGGAAAGCACGCGGGCTCTGACAATGTGCCGATGTGAGCCTTTGTACAGCTAAAGTCTGAAAGCCCTTCAGCATTTTAGCTAAAGGCTGAAAGCGTAGGAAAAATGGCCTTCCCTGAGTAGTCAAGAAATTTAGTCTGAAAGCATAATGAGGCTGCAAAGTGCCTGTGTACGTCCCCCTGTCTGCACCTGGTTGATTTGGGTTGAGGGTTAAATAGTTACTATAAATATTGATGGAGAAAAGAACAGGTTTCCAGGTGCTAGAAATGGAGAGATTTCCCCTCTATACCTGGAGAGAATTCTTTTTCGACGTGGGTGGGATTTTTAAACATCAGTGTCTGTAGGAAGTACGTGTGATGAACACATGCCTGTATGCCTTGCTTGTGTCGATTTCACAAAGTTATGTTTCTGACTGCGTGCTCTCCGGGAAGGTTTTCTGAGCAGCATGGCTTCACGAAGCCCAACGATGACCGTGCCCTGCATTTGATGACCAAGTGTGCCCAGACGGTGATGGAAGAGCTGGAGGATATCACCATTGCGTACGGACAGAGTGATGAATACAGCTTTGTTTTCAAGAAGAAAAGTAACTGGTTTAAAAGAAGAGCAAGGTAACTTCCTCTCTGGAATTTAGCAATTCCCCCCAGACTTAATATCTCGTGGGGAAAAGTTATATTTGTCCCCTCTTTTTTATCTTTGCCCCTGCCTGTCTGCATATGCTGTCTGTATGGTATAGGTAAAACTGATGTGTTACACTTATATGTACAGTATATGTAATTAGCTGTGAAGTTTTGATATTATCTTTGTGTATGCCACTTTTGAAAGATAAATGTAATAACATGGGGTTAAAAAAACATTCTATCAAAAATAGAGGTTTTTGGTAGCCTACTTCCATTTCTATCCTCGGTGCTTAGCATTTTTCATTGCTCAGCAAGAACCCGTGCATCATTGGTGGTCCATAAAATCATAAGACACTTAAGCAGCACAGCTCTCCACCAGCCATTACCCCTGTTACCCCAATTGCTTACAGATAGAAAGGTATGAGTGTTTTAATTAACAGCTAACATCTGTTCTCTCTCTCTCTCTCTCTTTTCTGTTTTTGCAAGTAAGTTCATGACCCACGTAGTTTCCCAGTTTTCCTCCAGCTATGTCTTCTACTGGAAGGATTATTTTAAGGACCAGCCACTTCTGTATCCGCCAGGATTTGATGGAAGAGTTGTGCTGTACCCCAGCAACCAGAATTTAAAGGACTACCTCAGCTGGAGACAAGCTGATTGTAAGCATCTTTAGAAAAGAAGGGAAACCCATAGAGTGGGGCACTGATGATTGATGGGCATGTTTTCTCTCTTGGGGATGAAGAAAAGGGCTTCCCTGAATAGTCCAGTAGATTTGCAGATAGTCTGTCTCTCCTTTGACACGATCTCCTATTTTGACAGGCCACATTAATAACCTCTACAATACAGTATTTTGGATGCTTGTGCAACGAAGTGGCTTGACTCCAGTACAAGCACAAAATAGATTACAGGTGAGAGTCTCTTCCAAGATCACTTTCTTTTTCAGATGATCAGCTGCAAAGAATATTTTTGTTCTTACTAGACAGACAACATGTGCAAAATCTAGTTCCCCAATGGTTTTAAGCACATGCAGTCATGTCTTGTCCATTCAGCAAGGTCAGCTGGCTTGCGTATACATGGTGTTTGTCTGGAGGTGAGATGAGTTCTGTCTTTCTGTCTTGTTCTTGCAATGCAGAGGGGCATAACTGAGAGAGAGATTGAGAGAGAGATTTTATTTAAACTTTGTATAGCATTTTAACTTCATAACTACTGATTCTGAGTCCCTAATAACTTTGGGTATTGCAAAGTTTGATTAATGTTTAGCAAAGTCATTTGATGATGAAAAAACTATTAAATGCTATTGCTAGTTAATTATATTTAACAATTAGTCTGTCTTTCCATGCTGTTAGAAAGTTATAAACAAATTGAGGCTATAAGGTGTGTGTGTGTGTGTGGTTTCTTTTTCTCAATCTCAGGGAACTTTGGCTGGAGATAAGAATGAAATTTTGTTTTCCGAATTCAACATTAACTACAACAATGAGCCCTTGCTGTATAGAAAAGGAACTGTACTAATATGGCAAAAGGTAAAAGCATTTTAACAGCTTGTCCACCCTCACATTTAAAAAAAAAAAAAAGCACTGAGTAATTTACAAACTACAACGAAGCCACTAAATGATTCTGGTGTTAAATTGTCAGCTTCTGTGGCTGTCCATAAAAGGACACGTTCCAGATGCTGAAAAACGGATATAGATATAGATCCAAACAGTTATGGTTGGAGGGGAGTCATTTTTTTGAGGTGGTACAGAAATATCTGGCCATGTAAATAAAAGGAAAGTCTTAATGCCCGAAATGGGAATCATTTGGCTATTTCTGCATAGCCTGATTATAGTCTTGTGCATGTCGTGTTGACCATGCATGCCATCTTGAAAAGTTCTGCTTGCCTAGGGCTTCATCTTTATTTGCTTTTTTTTTAAAAATGACTATGAATCATGACAAAACTTGAACAAGCAAGTTCTGCGTCCACAGTGATTATTTGTAATGACAGGTTTTCCAAGTCTGATGTGATATCATCCAAAGTGAATATTTGGGCCTGTGCCAGCCTCACTGTAGGATGGGAACGTTAGCGTTAGTACAATGAAGGAACTGGGAGCGTTCATTCAATCAGACTCTGTCTTCCAGGAACTGAACAATCCTATCTTGTTACTTAAATAAAGCAGACAGAGGATCAAATCTGTGTCTTTATTTGCAGGTTAATGAGGTCACTACAAAAAGAATCCAATTTCCAAAGGAAACTGAAGAGAAGGAAGTTGAAGTGACGCGGACCAGGAATAAAGTTGTCCCTCTGCACTGTGACATTATTGGGGACCAGTTCTGGGAAGAGTATCCTGAAATCCTGGCTGATGACAGCTGATATTTCCAGTTTGAATTTAGGTGTAAAGGACAGTTTACAGTTTAGTCTATGGGGGCCTTTGTGAACTGAAGAGCATGGCAGGTTGGCTGGAATAATTTCACTTTGTAACCTTTATTGTGAAAGGTATTGAAATCTTAAAAAACACTGTATCCTTGTCTGTAGTGCAAATAGATCCTCCAGCAAAAGCTAGAATCAGGTCCCTTTCAAAACAGCAAGAACCCTTTGTGAATGACCAAATTGACCCTTGTAAGGCTGCATTTGCCTCAAGACTGATTACAGTATTATAATGTATTTATGTAGCATCCTGGACATCAAAGTCCCAGGCTGCTTTATACAGTTGGTTAAAGTAAAATTATTTACTTTTTAGAACAGTGTAAAACAACAGGAAAACTGTTTCTTTAGATTTGCTTATAACCATGAAGCAGATTGGAGTATGTAGGGTAGTGCTTTTAAATTAAACGCCAAGACTGTGGAGCTTAGTAACAAAATATTGAAGAACTGTACATCTCAGGCTTATATCAATATATGACATGGAACACCAATTTATGAGGGCAACTTTTAATGTACTTCTCAAATGTAAATTACTCTTGTAATTTTTTTAAACATAGACATGTAATTCCCCCCCCCGTTACCCCTCAGTGTGTTTATTGCTCAGACTTCAGCATCACTGTGACTTTTATTAGCAATTAGGAGAGGTCTGAAATGGCCAAACTGGAATAACATTCTTATATAGGCTTGCATACTAGCAGGAGGTGTGTATGGGTCACGCGCTCATTTTCTGCTGCCTGGGAAACCACCCGACTCTTGCTGTTCAGGATAGTGAAAGCTAGTGGTGCTAGGAGAGAAGCTGGTTACCTGTGGTGAGGAAGTTTGAAAGAGGGCTTGTATTGTTCTGCATCTCCTCCTTGTAGTTGACTCTTCCAGCCAGTTAGAGGAAGAGGGGGAAGAGACCAGGACTGATTGTAGCAGTAGGGAGAGATTGCTGTGGTGTGTGTGTCTGAAGGGGTTGGTTGCTGTGCCGATTTAACTACCAGCCGCAGGCAGGCTGTTTACCAAAAGATTTGAATCAGTACAGTCCTTGATCGGGACAAAAGTATATCAATTATGCCCATGTTCTCGGAAAGTTAGGGAAATCATCTATATTGGCTTAGGTACCTTTTTATATCAGTATAAATGCATTCACACCAAGGCATTGCAGTGTTTTAACTATATCACCTTAAAAAAACAACAGTTAAAGCATCACAAAACTGACTTGGAAAAGGAGAATTCAGCTTGTGCTCTGGGGCTGGGCCTAGAGACTGGAAGCATGGAGCGAACGTGACTCGGTTGATCAGCATTCCAGCCATTTCTTTCCACTGGAGAGTCTCTGATTTACAGCAATACACTTTTCTTGGGTGTGTCTACATGCATGCTTTAATGTGCATTAGCTTATTTTAATGTGCATTAAAGCATCACAAAAAACGGTGTGCTTCTGCTAATGTGCATTAAAATAGGCTGATGTGCCTTGCTGTAGTACTTCACAGTGGAGGTACTAAATTTAATGTGTGTTAACAAACATGCATTAATGCATGTGTAGATGCGCCGGCTACTGTTACTTATTCACAGACTGTTTGGAAAGGCTCTTAACAAATACTTACTGATCCATGGTATCTTATTACTATAGACATCCCCTATCTTCTACTTTTCCTACTACAGCAGTGGGGTTAGGCCTGAAGAAAAAGCCCCTTTTAAGTCATTTGGATCATAAACAGTTTAAATATACATAATAAGGTAGTAAATACTCTTTTTTAATTCACTGTATGCAATCCTGAAGAAACAAATAGAAGAATACAGACTTGAGTGATGAGGGCAGCACTTATTCTCCATTCTGAATTGATCACTGGACTGCAATTAATTAGTCCCACTACTATCATTAAACGTCCATATCTCTTCTTCCCTTCCTCGCTATATGAACTCTACCAGATTGGCAAACATCCAGAAATCAGTCATGGGATATCAAGGAGACGTTTCTCATCAGATTATGATCAAACCAAAGAAAGTGAAATTTGGGCTTTTCACTGTATTCTGTAGGGGTTTTATATCTTCCTAGCTCTTCACATACATTACCTAATCCTCACTATAGCATATATGAGCAGTGAATATGCCCATTTGACAAAGGGCTGGAAAATGTAGGACCTACTTTTGAAAGTGGCCTTTTAATGTCTGTTAAATGTGTTGTGAAACTTTGAACAAACTGACATGGAGGGAGCAAAAAGGGGTGGGAAAGTGCCCAGCATCTTCAAAAATCAGGCCCCAAATAAAGGAAATTGTCCAGAATTAGAAGGCACATTTGAAAGATGAAGGGGATCGAAGGCTGTGCGTTCCTGTGTCCTTGCGTTGCGTTCAGACTGTCGTGAGAGCTCTGAGGTTTCACTTGGTGCCCTGCTTAAGGATTTGGAGAGGAAACGTGTGAGGCTTCTCAGTCGTGCGCCACCCATAAAATATTTGACCTGTAGGAAATGACATGTCCTCTAAGGCGAGGTGGTGCAATGTATTCATGCAGAGAAAACGAGAAGGCAGAGCAAAGATGCACGTTGTAGACCAGTGAGTCTCAATCCCAGGTACTGTGGTACCTGCGGTGCCTTGAGGTCCTTTCAAGGGTGCCATGTTAGCACTTAGCCAAGGCAATTCACATGTTAAGCCCAGAGATTGCGAACAGGAATAAGGTGTTGAAAACACCCTGCTCTGCTGTGGGCTTGCTGAATTTGCAATAGAGCAACAGCTCTATTATTTGTCATCAAAAAAACAAGTGAAACCTGAGAAGCAGCATTTTCTGAGGGGGGCCTTGGGTCTAAAAAACTTGGGAACCACTCTTGTAGACTGACTTCATGAGGAAAAGTAAACAGGCATGTACTAGTTACTATCAGAATATAAGAATAACATAAAATAAGGTCATTAAAAGGTGGCACTCATTGCCCCCAAATGTGGTGGAAAATGACAAGTTTAGTTTCACCAAAGTCACAAAGGGATTGGACCCATTTTTGGAGGAAAAGGGGCATTACTTACTATCGAATGTGGCCTGGGGGGGATCAGAACTTCCTAGAGCTGGGGCTGCAAGTGGGAGAGGAACCGTGGAACTAGTGAAACGCTGCCCAGAGATGTGCGGAGGAGAGGAAGACACAGGTGGTGGCGATGGCTTCCTGGTCTGGCAGGTGGGTGGCTTGGCCAGAGCCAGGAAGCGGAGCAGGAGGTCCCAGAGCTCCTGGGCACGGCGGAGCTGCAGTGAGACCCAGTCCATGGCAATCCTTATGACTCCATCAGAGGCACCAGCTTTGGGGCCTGCAACAAAGACCTCAGCCTCCCGACCCAGCAGGTTGCAGGGAGGGGACTGGGGTGTTGGCTGTAGCCGTGTTGGTCTAATAACACAGGCAGACAAGGTTTTTGGGGTAAATCTGATATCTTTTATCAGACCAACTCATATAGTTGGAAAAATTCTTTGCAAGCTTTCGGGTATAAATACCCTAGTTGAGGTTGGATATTAGGAAAAACTTTCTCCCTAGGAGGGTGGTGAAGCGCTGGAGCAGGTTACCCAGAGGTGGTGGACTCTCCATCCTGGGAGGTTTTGAAGACCTGCTAGACAAAGCCTTGGCTGGGAGGATGGGTGTGTGTTTGTGTGTTTGTAAGGAACATGTTGGATGTCCCAAGCCAAATCAATTCCAAATCCAACTGTAAGTGTCCCTACTACCGGCAAGCATCCTCCAGCCCCGCCTGGGGCTTCACGTTTCCAAATCCTTTGGTGGGTGTCCTACGTGCAGGCCCGTCTGTAAGCTTGGGGCTTGGACGTGGGTGACTGGTGCCTCTCGAGTCGGGGGGGCACCTGCCCCCCTGACACCAGTCAGCGATGGGAAGGGTCCCCAGGAGGCTGATCCCACTGACTGGAGAGGGGAATTCCCCTGTGGCTGATGGGTGGCCCTGCTCCCCGGCTAGTGCTCGCGGGCGGGGGGGCACCAACACTCCCGCCTAAACAAGGAGTGCGGCCTGACACGGGGCGCACCCCCCACGCATCACCACTGGGCTCCCACGCTGCCAAGCGTTGCTGGCCCTCCCTGAGCCAGCTGGGGAGGGGGCTGCCGTTTCCACAAAGTGGGCGTGGAGGGAAGACCTTCCTGGTGGAAAGAAGAGTGGGACGGTCACTACGCATACAATCACCCCCTCCCCTCCCCTCCCCTCCCCCCGTGGGTGCTACCCCATGCCACAAAGGTGGTCATCCCCTGCCTGCCCTGGGAACCCCCCCCCGGGGAAAACCACCTTATTTTTTTATTTTTGCAAAAATCTTTGTTTCTATACATATAAATACATACACATGTATGCATACGCGCACACATGTATTGACACACACAGGGGCTACAAGGGGGGGGCGGGGAGCTAGCTCCGCCCCGCCCCGCCCC